GTTAAGCAGTAAGAAAACTATTCCCAGTATTTACTTACGTTTTAAATTTTTTAAAGTATTCATTTCTATGTTTTGATCAGCAATGGTTCCATGATTAAATCTGTCCCAGCATTCCAGTTAGATGAAGGTTCTACCCTTAGCCAGACCTCACCGTCATGTTTCCACTCATTTTGAAAGTGGAAATGTAGTGAACATGGAATTAGAAACAGGAGACTCTAGTCTGGGTTTGCAAGCAACACTCAACAAATGAGTCCATTTCAGCATATAGATGATAAGAGTAATGATGTGTTCATTGAATGTGGACATCATCTATGTGAAACACTCAGCAGGCATGTAACTCAAGATTTTTAAAAACCTCTAAAACTACAAAGATTTCATAATTTTTTGTCATTTTCCAAAAGTCTTCCCTAAGTCTCTTTCTAATGAAAGGAAATAATTTTTTCTTACTTGAAATGTTTCACAGGGGTAAAGCATGAGACTCATGAAGTGAAGAAAAGCTGACAAAATGTTGACATTTTGGCCACAATTTATAAAGCTTGTGCTACAAACCAGGCATGGGAAAGTCCTCTAAGAATCCTCCAGTGTGTGATGGGTCAAGTTTTATTCCATAAGTCACTTGGATAAGGACTGAATTGGAATGATGATTATGAAAGAGAGAGATCAAGAGAGGCTGCGATATTAGCCTCCCAAAGCTCCACTTGAGTTCCCTGTAGTGGGGTTTAGGAAAGCAACAGGAAATTCCAAACACTCAGCTAATAATCCTTGTGTGTGTTGAAAAGGCCACCCTCTTTTAACAAGCCATAACATACTCCCCTGACAGCTAAAACATCCTCACTCACAGCCAAAGCATTGCCGGTCCCTCCTGATACACAGGTAGGAAACAATCTGACTTTGGCTTCCTGTGAATAGATGATCATGTGTTTCCAAGAAGACATTTTCCTCCATGGTCTGCAGCACAAGGGTAATGCCTAGACACAACTTTTCAACTGTACGAGATGAATTATATTTGCTTCCTTTTCTTTACCTTAGGGTCTAATTCTCTTTTTCTTCTATTTCCAGTCCCTCAGGCTGCTCAAAACTCCTTTAGCAAGATCCTACTTTGATCATCTATGGAATATTTTAGGCATGTAGAATTTACTCAAACTAAAATCCTCTAAAATAATGATAATTTCACAATTGTTGAAATTTTCTGGAACTCTCTCTTAACTTCTCCCCTATCCAAAATTCCCTTAAATGTATGATAAACTCTGTGCCTTCTCTTTCCATCACCACATTCCTGATAAGATATTAAGTTTATAATAACTGTGATATAATTATGTTAATGTATGGTTGGGAGATAGTCCCATAGTCAAGAAAGTTATTTACATTTGAAATAAGAATCATTGTTGTCAAGATTAGGACAATGGTACAAGATACTAATGGTTCAAGGTATTATATAGGTTTTTTTTTTCTAATTGGGAAAATAAGATCTTGAGTGATGAATTCTCTGGGTCTGTTTTTCTAAATTGATATGAGTTTTTTTTTCTGGATTCAGTTTCTCCTAAAATTCTACGATCCTATTCTCTACAGTATCTACTTGTTTGCTGGTTTTATTATGAAAGAGGCCTGTAAATAGAATATAGTGTTTGGCAATGGAGAGGCTGGTGTGGAAGAAGGCAGTAGGAACTATGCAGTGGCGTTGAGTAGGCACGGGTTTACATCCAGATAGTAGGTTGAGGTTGTTCTTGTTGACAATGATACAGCCAGGATGAACTTAGGATGCTGAAGCCACACTACCCCTCACAGTATGATGACTTGAGCAGTATTTCTCATTAGATTCCTCATTCTTTAGCATTAATGATGCAGCAAGAGATTTTCTCTCTCACGTGCAAATGCCTCATCTGACCTGACCTCAACTCTTGTCTTTCAGCCTATTCAGAAGAGGATGAGCTTCACCATGGTCCATGCCCTTACCGCCTCTCTGCCCTGACTTGACAAAGCCCTCTCTCCCTTGCATCGTTTGGCTCCAGATATTCCAGACTCATTATTATTAGTATTCAACTACTCCAGCCCCATTAGAAAAGGCAGGCCTATAATTGAGGACACGTCATTTAAGGCAAATGCCATTTATTTAAAACAATACCATCACCACCAAAACTAGGTATGGAACAGACACCTTGAAATTTTTCAGCGCATAAGCGGGTAAGGAAAGAACAGTTTAAGAAACCATTACAATGTGCCAATAAACCTTCCATTCCCATGGAGCTTGAGGCTTGCAGGAGTTTGTGTGCTGTCAAGAGCTGTCACCACAACCAGAGTGGACAGGAAGAAACTCTAGCTTTGGGTGGCTGAGTAGAGACCCAACTCTGAATCTCCGGAGCGTACTTCACTGGAACCTTTCCTGGGTTCAATCCAGAATGCTGCAGCTTTCGGTACAGCCATTACAGGCACCAGAAAGCACAGATACGCGCATTTGAAACTGAGCATTTGGATTTGTTTTGTTTGTTTAACTTCTGACATGGGTCCTTAGATCAGTAGTTCTCATTCTGAATAAGAGAATAAACAAAGCTCTGCCTTCTCTGGGCCAGCCAAATTTGAGACCTGACTTGCTACCAACACTGCAGCTAAGATGAGCCTCCAGTGCTGAAACTACACTGCCCCTCAGAGAGTGATGACTTTGCCAATAACTTGGTATTTTTTAAAGTTAATTCCCCAGATGTTATAAGGGGAATGATCATATAAGCCAGATAAGAGTGCTAGACTTGGCAAGAATGTTGTCTCTCAGGTGCATTATTGCAACTGACTCATCTCTGAATTCCTGGTTTCCATGTTTGCCTACATTCCATGTGCTATGAAAGGAAAGAGATAAGAAATGAGAGAATAAAGTCGGAGATGCTGGGCAGTGGGGAGAGGAGAGAACCAGGTGGCAAAAGGAAGACAGGGAGAAAGAATAGCACAGAGCCTAGGGAGAAAGCTTGTCAGTAAAGTACTTGTCACTCAAACATAAGGACCTCAGTTGAATCTACTTTTTTTAAAAAGTCAGGCATGGCATGGTGGCTTGCACCTTTCGTACCAACACTAGGAAAGGATGACAGGAGAATACCAGGAATCTCAACGGCCATTCAACCTAGCCTAATCTTTAAGTTCCAGGTCTAAGTGGCAGACCATGTTCCAAAGACAATCTAGACTGCTCCTGGGGGACAGCTAGGCACACGCACTCGCAGACACACACACACACACACACACACACACACACACACACACGGACACGGACACAGGTACACATGCATGCAGACATACATATACACGTGCACACGCACATGCACACGAAAATGACTAACTGAAAGGACCAGGAAACACACAGAGGGAAAGGCAAAAGGAAGATCTCAGTATCTACAGCTTTTCCCGTAGCTCAGCCAGGAACTCCAGACAGACTAACCTCAGGCATTTGCTCCTCTTCAAATAACCAGGCTAGTGAAACTCTCAAGGTCATGGTGCACTTGTACCACCTGGCCTGATGCCAGAAGAGAATCCACCCAAACATCTCATAATCAAGCCAGGCTACTCCGTGTCAACTCCTACTCTTTTAGGAATCCGTCCATCCGCGTGCACCTGCAATGCCACGTCCTAGGGATTGCTGCTTCTGAGCCACATGGGGCGATAGTCTTCAGTGCACCTGTACTCCAGAACAGACAAGTCCATCTCTTAACTGCGCAGATGGGAGCCTCATCTGTCTGACCTGCACAGACTGTACATTCTACACTGTGCCTCATGTCTCAAACGCTGGGTTCCTCTGGAACAAAGGGAGATTGCTGACAGGCCTCAAGGAGGGCCAGGAGCTTCCTCTCCTGATTTAGCCACTACTGTGATTTTATTTCCCAACTAGGGGAGCCTCTTTCCCTGTAGCAACTATGTCTATGTCTTGCAACATTTACTTTGTGCTGAGGGAAACAGCTTTCACATCCCAAGCTTCCCCGGATTTTTAAAATTTGTCTAGAGCTTGATCATCCCCAAGTTTAATACATGACAGAAACTTTGGCTCAAGAATCCAAACAAGTTTCTAGAGCTAAAAACTTTGGTGCATGTTTCGTAATAATTTAGCAGATTCAAACAACTGGGCAAGGGCAGGTCAAATAAATTGCCAAGGTCATGCTTCTTTAGAGGTAGCATTGGACTGAGAATTGTTATCATCTGTTATCATCGATGCTGTTTGTCACCTAGTTAACTCTCCCACCCTCCTTGTAAATGATCTTGTAATATAAAGTCAACTTGCTATTTGTGAAGCCTCCACAAGCCTTCCTGTAACCCTTTCATTGTCCTGTAATGTCAGTTTACTCGATGGAGAGGAAGTTTAAATAATAAGCTCTCTTGCTGACCTCTGTATTGCTGAATGAATGAAATAGAAACTACTACCTGGATACTGTTGGTCTATACCAGGGATGGCTGGTGAACCTGAAATTATTTTTATTACATCTTATTTATCTTGTGTCCTGGATGGGTGTGAGCAGGTGGAGCTTGCCATGTCATATGAGCGCAGGTTGGAAGACAACTCGCTGATTCGGTTCTTTCCTTTCACCATGCGGAGCCGAGCCTGGGAATCGAACTCCAATAGTCAGGCTTGGCCTGGGTCGTCTCTCTGGCCCTGACTTTGATTACTTGAACTGCTTTGAATTCACTTTATTTTTTTTATCCCGAGAACAACAACAACAAAAAGACCCCCTTAAAAACGCAAAGGTTCCTCTGCCAAAGAAGCAAGACGAAATCAGATGTGTAAATAATTCTTGTTCTAATACCCTGGACTAGGAAGGAAAAAAAAAAAAGAGTGGTGTCGCCAAGAGAAGCTTCTTAAAGTAACAGCGTCTTTAAACAGGTCCCTGTGACCCATTGGGTTTCAGATCTCTCAGGAGAGACTGTGAATTCAGAATTCTCCAGGGCTCACTCAGTCTTTGTGGCCATCCGCCACAGGGAATTGTGCCAACTGCCAACTCCAGCGTTTGAGGGGCGAGGACTTTGCAGGGGCGCGGGACTGTGCGGCAGGAGAATCTCACCATCAGTGGGCATTTAGCGCAGCCAAGCGACAGGCTGGCGTCAGGGCTAGGCTGTGGGGAGGCGCCGGCTGAGGCGGGGAGAACTTTGGCGCTCCTACCAGAACCACCCTTCCTGGCCAGTTGTGTCGCTCCTCCGAGGAAGCCGCGGAGGTGGCGCCTGGGCGAAAAGCCCGGCAGAGAAAGGAAGAGAGGAAGTAGAGAGAAGGAAGAGGGAAAATGAAGCAGGCGCTCGGGGAGCCCGCGGTGGGGTGGCCGGCTGGGAAGAGAAATAGGTTCAGCTGCTGCTTTACTGTACCTCGAGCGTGAACGCCCTCTCCTCTGCCACCCCAGTAAATAAGGAGGTGTCGCCTGAAGTGAACAGCAAGAGAAAAGAAGCCAGTCAAGTGGGAGCACGGCTTCTCTCTCACTGCCGCCCCCTTGCAAGCCGGGCGGCTTCTCGCGGGGCCAGACGCTGCTCCCCAGGAGCCCTGCAGATGGGGTGGGCAGGGATCCGGAGCCCGAGCCGCGGGTGACCCGCGCTGGCCAGCCGGCCTGCCGCGCTTAAGGAGGATGATAGGCGGAGGAGCCCAGGGACCGCATCCGACACAGCCCGGCGTCCGCTAAGCTGCAACTTGGAATGCCCAGGGACCAGTTCGGCTCCGGCGACCGCTTCACTGTGTCCAGGGAAGCTGCGCTCCGGACTTGGAGGCGGAGACCTCAGGCGGCCGAGACCTCCGGCGGCGGCGGAGGGGAGAGCCGGGCGCAGGAGGGGGCGCGCTTTCTCCCTGCGGGTCTCAGTAATGAGGAGACTGAGTTTGTGGTGGCTGCTGAGCAGGGTCTGTCTGCTGCTGCCGCCGCCCTGCGCACTAGTGCTGGCCGGGGTGCCCAGCTCCTCCTCGCACCCGCAACCCTGCCAGATCCTCAAGCGCATCGGACACGCGGTGAGGGTGGGCGCGGTGCACTTGCAGCCCTGGACCACGGCCCCACGCTCAGCCAACCGCGCTCAGGACGGCGGAGGCAGGGCGGGTGCCCAGAGGGATGAGCCGGAGTCGGGGACGTGGCGGCCACCGGCGCCCTCGCAGGGCGCACGCCGTTTGGGGAGCGCCCTGCATGGCCGGGGTCCGCCTGGCTCCCGGAAGCTCGGGGAGGGCGCCGGGGCCGAGACCCTGTGGCCCCGGGATGCCCTGCTGTTCGCCGTGGACAACCTGAACCGTGTGGAAGGGTTACTACCCTACAACCTGTCTTTGGAAGTAGTGATGGCCATAGAGGCGGGCCTGGGCGATCTGCCACTTATGCCCTTCTCTTCCCCAAGCTCGCCGTGGAGCAGTGACCCTTTCTCCTTCCTGCAGAGCGTGTGCCACACCGTAGTGGTACAAGGGGTTTCGGCGCTGCTGGCCTTCCCCCAGAGCCAGGGTGAGATGATGGAGCTAGACTTGGTCAGCTCTGTCCTGCACATCCCTGTGCTGAGCATAGTGCACCACGAGTTTCCGCGGGAGAGTCAGGTGAGAAGTGTCTGGCGCGTAGAGTGATGTGCGCTGCCGGGAGACGGGACCAGAGTGGGGCGAGGGGGAGGAAGAGTGTGGGTGAAGCACGGGGCTTTTTAACTTCCATAGCCTTTGGGGCTTGGCCTATGTCCCTAGGTGGCAGGTTGGAGGACTTCAGTCGAAACAGTAGTAAGACATTTTAAACGCAGACGGAAATAAAATGCGAAGTTAGAGGGGTGGTGGATCGAGGGGAGAATGTGGAGATAACACGCGCGCGGGTGGGGGGGGCGGTCTTGTTTTGACAAGCTGAGAGAGAAACCTAATGGATTCCAGACACCTGAAACTTGGGCTTCAGAACCTTGGACAGCGACCCAGGGTTCCAGACTGAAATAAGGGATGGAGGTGGGGCCCAGACTCGCCGCTGTCTTTAAACTCCCATGGGGAAGCCAGAAAGCCTGTCACAAAAACAGCAGCTGCTGCTCTTTTCGACTCCCTCAGAGGCGTGCCAGGGCTTTGTGGCTTGAGAAAAAGCACATCCCTTTGACTTCCTTTTCCTAAACTGAGAAGTGCAACTAGTTCAGAAGCCATGGGCCAAGGGCAGAGGCTGGCAGTCTCGATATTGGGAACCACTGGAATCATTGAGCGCATAGGACCCGGAGATTCGTCTGTGGATTCTTTGTTCCTGTCTTCCTTGTGTGATATGGGCTCAGAGACCGGACACGTGATTGCTGTGTTGAGGCCACTTCTGCTCTCTTTATTTAAGAACAAACAAACAAATAGGGGTTTAGTTTTTTATGGATTTGGAAAAAATCTAAACATTTTTAACAAAGAAATGTTGGTGGACTTAAGTGCTGATGAGTAACAATGAGGAGGTTGGATAGCCAAGAAGAAGACAGGTCTATAAGACAACAGAGGCTTGGCGTTTTGTAGACTGCTGTCATACCAACTTGTGCCACCTTCTAGAAGATGTTTGTGAGGCCAAAGAATGAAAATGGTCCCATTTTAAAGACTGAGAGACTGAGGAAAGTTCTGGGATTCGGTGAACATTGGGCTAGTAAGAGTCTCGACATTGGCCGATTTGTAAGTCAGCATCATTTTCGCTCTGTCCTTTGGTTAGCAAGATACTTCTAATCTCCCTCGAATTTTTGGTCCATGTATAGAGATAAAGGCTGAAGTGAGTAAGGGAATGCGCCAGTGAAAAGTTTGATAGAATCTATGTCTAAAATATTCAGGTAATACATTTATTTTTGTTAGAAAAGAAAATAAATCTTGGATTTTAAATGTTAGGAAGGACAAGAACAAACCCCTTTCGGCAAGTTACCCAGGCAATTTCCATTTAATGGTGAGCTCTAGAGATTTGATCTGCAGGATGCAGGCTAATTAACTGTTATCTGAAATATTTCTGTTACCTGAATCTGAATGGCTCAAGCAGCAGATGAGAAGGCAAAGGAAACAGGGGTGCAGCATTGCCAGTGGCCACACCATTATTAAAACATATGCAGAAGCAGACCTAATGAGATGCAGGAACCAGCACACAGGCTGCTCATCACTGCTTCCCTGTTACCTAATCCTTCAGAAGTTGCCAGCAACAGTCACAGTCACCAAACTCCTTCCCATTTGCAGATTGTTTGGCAGGACTCTTAAATAGCGAGAAATTTCTCTCCAAATTAGAGTTCCCTTGGTTGGAAGGGAAGCTGTGTTCCAGAGTGGATTCATGTAACACACAGCACACAGAAAGGAGATGGGAGGGGAGAGAGAAAAGGAACACGAAGCAGTGTCCAGAGAGCTTCCAAGGTTTAAGGTCACACTGAGAATGAAGTCCTCCAGGGATGCACTTACAACCTGCCTATAAAGCAAATGCTCAGCCGTGTGCATTGACTTCTGTGTCTTAAGTCATTGTCCTCATGCTGTTTTCATGGTACACATCTGGAAAGGTAAAGATCACTGCATGACTCAGACCTGGCTTGTCCTGCGGAGCATTTTCCTTCTATCTCCCCTCACGCATTTTAAATTCACACATATCTGACTTGGCATACCTTACTTCTAGTATGTCAGTATATTAGTATGTTCTTCTACAATATTTTACACTTAAAATTCCCTGCTCAGTGCCAAGTCACTGTAATGTGCAGTGTTGGGATGTGAGCACAGTTTTGCTTTCAGCAAAATTAATAGCTGCTCTTCCTCTGGCTTCTCCTGGAAAGTGGGCCTTTCTCTAATATACTGATGTAATATTTTTAAAAGACCTTCTAGATATAAAAAAGTGTCAAAGTCATTTTACACATTAAATAAAACCAGCTTAATTTAGGCATTGTCTTTGAAGCCTACCGGACAATGACCTCATTTGTTGGTTATCTGATGTCTGAATATAGGATACTAAAAGAAAGTAGACTTACCCACACAGCCAAGGAAAGCAAAAGTGTTTCCTGGAGCCGAACAATCCCAAACTGCTTTCAGTGAAAGCAGGAACAGCAACAGGGTCCCCTCAGTGTCCCTTGGACACTCATACCCCCCCCACACACAAGAAGGTTTTATTTACTGAGTGATGGTTTTTAAAATACCATACCATGGTTCTTGAATGGAAGACGATACCAATGAGATGGTCAAAACGCAAGTTTTCTTTCAGCATTTAATTAAAAACATAAGCGCAGGGCTGGGCAGGTTGCTGAGTGGTTAGGACCACTAGTTGCTCTTATGGAGGATCCAGGTTTAGCTCCCAGCATCCACCTGGAGGCTCACAACCATCTACAACTCCAATCTCAGGGGATCTGATGCCCTCTTCTGGCTTCTGTAGGTACCAAACATGTGTGTGATATACAGACAAACACACAAGCAAAACATCTATATATATTAAATACATAAAAAATAAATGTTGAAATTTTAACAAAAAATATTAAAACAAAATAAAACATAAGTAGAGAGCATTGGCCATCAATGGACTAAGAATGGACTAATTTCCTTCAAGGACAGACCCACCAATAGTGACTCAACTGTTCACTTTGGAAAATACATGCTTATTATCACCATGTAATTAAAGATTAATACAACATGGAATGGGTCAAAGTACAGTTGCACCCAGAATATTACTTCTTCACCACCATATTTGAACTCCTGCCTGAGGTGGACCCATTTTATTTAGAGGATCAGTTTGTCCTGAATTACATTGCTATAACTTTCAAGTAATGATGCTGCCATGGACCAAATTCCATTCACGTTTAAGCCACAGTGAATTCATGAGTTTGGTCTCTTTCTCTTCCTTTCCCTTAGTACCTTTTCTTCTAGGGATTTTGTGTAGTTTCTTCAGAAAACAAATCCATTTTCTATGTTGTGACAAGGGCACATTCTTTGCATATATATGTTGTTAAACACCACATTAGTTTATATTAGTCATAGCTAAGGAAGAAATATAATTGGCTTAGATACAAGATACAAGTACATTAGCTTCAATGCCTGACTATGTTCAAGTGTGTGTGTATGCATGTGTACATGTACAAACACCCATACACATTAAATACACCCATGCACTACATGCATACATGTGTAGATACATGTGTTTTATATTTTATTTTAAATTTCTAATAGTTTTCCATACCAAACATAGTTCTGCCTCCTTTCCTCCTGCTCTAAACCATCTGCCCATCCACTCCCCAGAAAGGGCAAGGCCTCCCATGGGGAGTCAACAAAGCCCCACACATAAAGTTATGGCAGAACCAAGCCCCTCCCTGCTGCATCAAGACTGAGTAAGGCATCCCACCATAGGGAATGGGCTCCGAAAAGCCATTTCATGCACCAGGGATAGCTCTTGGTCTTACCACCAGGGGAAGGGTCCCCAGCTGACTATCCAGAGGCCATGAGATCCCATGAGCTATGGTCAGCTGACTCTGTGGGTTTCCCCATCATGATCCTAAATGTGCCTCCTCCCCGCCCCCCCTGCTTGCTCATATAATCCATCCTCCCTCTTTTCAACTAAATGTTTGATCCAAAGCTCTCACTGGCCTGGACCTCACCTAATAGTCAAGTCTGGCTGACTGGCAATTCCTAGAGAACCACCTATCTGCCTACCTTCACCTTCCTATCCCACCATACCTGGCTTTTCAAAACAGTAGTTCTGGGAATCAAACTCAAGCCCTCATGTGTGCAAGGCAAGCACTGTATTGATGAAATGTTCTCTCCATACCCTAAAATTTCCAATTCTAGTTAAGTGAATCAATCTTCGGTTTGTCTCATGAGCCATATTTCTAACTATTATGTTTATTTCTATGTACATGTTGGTACATTAGATGATCCATTTTCTCTGGCAATACTAAGCTAAAGATTTAAGGCCACTTTTAAAGGTTTTGGCTAATACAACAGTATTTTTGCATGGCATCAAGTACAGAACGTGACTCTACTGTATAACAAGTGCCTTAGGAAGGCAAGGAAAAGGCACTAACTTTTAAAAGGCCAGCTCTAAGTTGTGTTGGTTTTCTTTGACTTGATCTATGGCAGTGGTTCTCACACTGTGGGCCATGACCTTTGGCAAACCTCTATCTTCGAAATTGTTTATGTTATAATATGTAACAGTAACAAAATTATAGTTATGAAGTAACAATGCAAATAATTTTATGGTTGAGGGTCACCACAGCATGAGGAACTGTATTGAAGGGTTGTACCATTAGGGAGGGTGAGAACCACTGCTCTATTGAAGCACAGCACTCGATTGCCTCACACCCACAGGAAAGCACTTTTTCTGTGGTTTGTAACAAATGACGGCTAGCAGCACCTCATTATTGCCAACTTGATAAGTGATTTCACATTAAATGTCAAGTGATACAGAATTTTTCTCTAGTAGTGATCTTTTTCAGGTTCTTCATCAAAATCAGAGGCCTGGGATTAATTTGGAGGATTTTTATTAATTTGATAAATTGTTTTCTTAATCCTATCATTTTTTCTCTAAATACATAGTGTAGAAGAGAGTAACAGTGATCATTCATTGAGGAATTAGTGTGTCTCACTTTTCTTTGTGTTTACACCAACATCAGATAGTCTATTGAGAATATATTTGGCCCTAGTATTATGTGACTTTGTATCTTGGACATAATTTATAATTCAACTTACAGCGGAATACTAATTTCAACGACTAGATGCTTTAGTGCTCTGTACCTCTGGTGTTGCAGAAGGGACTATGCATGTTTGTGCTATTGGGTTTGTTTCGTAAATGCTTCAGTCAAATCCCTACCACTTTAGAAAAAGTAGGCAAAAGCTAAGGAATAACGGTCAAAAGATCTCTGATCCACCTCTGTCTACTTTTGGCCATTGTAATCCTTGGCAAGTCACTCTATCTCTGAGCATCTATTCTCTTCAATCAAAAGTGTTTCTTAGCTTTCTGATTTGCTTCATAAACAAAAAATGAGAAAATGGAAAGTACTATTACTAAATCTATTGTGTTAGCCAGATAACTACCAGAAAAGAGTTGGTCAATGAGCTGAGAAGGAGCAGTAAACCTTCTGCTGGGAGCCGTGGCCAACACAGGTGACTCTCTTACTTAGAAAGGTGAGGAAGGAGCATGGGTTCAAAGCTAACCTAGGCTACATAGTGAGACAATGCTTCAAGAAAAGAATAAAAATGTCTTAATCTGCCTACTTCATCAGTTAAAAGAGTGCCATATTTCTCTCCACTCACCTTCTCATTTTTTAAGAATTTGGTTAACAAGTAGCGAGCACACCTGCTTGGGAACAACACATCTGTTTCTATGCCAAATCTTACTTATGCCACACCTAAAAGAACTCTAGGCACTGCCATAGAAACTACAATATGAAATGTACAAGACTATAGAGACACCTGGGTCCATCACATCCATTACAAGTTGTTTTTGCTGTTCTGTTTTGGGCATATTTTTCACTCAAGAATCTATGGACACAGGGTGTGCTCCATCTTCATGTTGTGTGCAACTTGACTTATTCAGTGTTTTTATTTTTTACAGAAAATGTTTCTTGATGTAGGACTCAGTGTGTTTGTTCAAGCTGGCACAGATTCCTCATTTCTTAATGGACTGATAACAATTTGCAAAACAGCTATACTGAGTGTCATTTCCCCAAGTAACTGTGCAGGGTTCTCACAGCATGATACTGCTCATTTTAGCAGCAACACTCCATATAGAGATGAGAATTCCTCTTGTCTTTCCTCCTGCCTATTCTAACTACTGTCACACAGAGAGAAAAGTACAGCACAAAAAAATATGGTCTGAAAACTCAGCAAGGAAAATAATATTACATAACATGTACTGCATTGGTTTTTGAATACATGCATGAATTGATGGAAGTCTTAAAGATGCCCGACTGTCCTTCTGACCCCCTCTTTAAAGACGGGAGCATAGAGATTTAGCAGAGGAAAGGCAAACTTTGCTTCAACTTCTCTCATCTTCTGTTGTTGTTGCTTTGTTTGGCTTTGGTTTGTTGTTTTCTCTGTATGCAGAGCCCTTGGACCTTGAAGAGAGCTTGTCAGGTTATATTAGGTCTCCTGTGCTGAGGGAGCAGGTGTGTTGGGCCTTCTGCATTGTTGGAGAAGGTGTGTTGAACCTCTCTCATTGAGGGAGCAGTGTGTTGGACCTCCTGCACTGAGGAAGCAGGTGTGTTGGACCTCCTGCATTGAGGAAACAGATGTGTTGGACATCTTGCATTGAGGGAGTAACTGACCTAGGTGTGACAGCAGAAGGAATACCTTCTGTGATTTGACAAGGTTGGTTTGTGCTGGAGATGAGGGTTCTAGGGCTTAGAGCAAAGTGTAATAGCTCCTCCTTGTCAGTCAGATTGAATTTTACACCCTTTTTACTTTCTGAAACATTAATCTACGAACTGTTTCATCACATGTCTTAACAGTGCCTGTGCTTTTCAAGGCTTCATCATGAGTATGGTGATATTATCCTCTTGAGTCCTGTAAGGTAGAGAACAATGTATGAATGTACAAAGAAGTGGGTATAGCTGTGTTCTAGGAAGTGAGAATTCCTCAAGAAGGAGAACTGAATGACTCCCTCTGCATTTAGCATGTTTTTTAGCCTCCAATAGAACAAACCAGAAACTGTTGTGATGAGTGTAGTAACATCTAGGGGACAAGGGTAAACAGCAGAGGTTTGTTTAATCCCAGCTTTGATTGTTCAAAACATGTTAGGCATGATATTTTCAACTTTGAAAATTTAGTAGAATCATGACATGGGATGCTGTGCAGTCATACAAAATGAGAATATACTTACTGACATAGAGAAGTAGGAAAAAAATCCTACGAAAGTATCCATAAAATAGGACACTTTTCTGAAAAAAAAGTGGCCTGAAATTTCAGTTATAAAAATGTTAATAGCATAAGGGGTCAACTCTAGTCACATGTAAATAACAGCAACACTAGTTGGACTGAGCGTGATATAATATATTTCACATATAATATGTATGTGGATATGGTTGGGGTACAAAAGAAGTAAATACAGTGTACTCATATATGAAATGCTCAAACATCTTGAGCAAACAAAATAAACAGAGCTGTGCAGCTGAGTCCCACCATGTGCATCTACAAAGCAACTCCCACACATAAGGCACAGGGATCATTGTTTAATAGGACGTGGGAAGATTGTAAGAAGCAGAAATAGGGACTTTGCTGTGGGGTCTTGCTGCCTACATATGTCAGAAGCTACATGCATGATGCCTCACGAACATGGCTGCCTACCTAAATGTGAACTGAGCAAGAACAACAATAGACATGCTAAAGTAGACATAGGAAATCCCAGGAAGCCTTAGCCACACTCACAACTCTATACACATCTAAGGAATTCCCAATAGGTAGTGTGGCCGAGCATTCTCAGGCACTGGGTTAAGAAGCACTGAAAGCCAGAAAAATCGTCTTACATAGGCAAGAATGTGCCAATGGCTTTCCAATGCCAAAGTTTCATTCCTTAAAACAGAGTTACAAATAACCTTATGCAGATTGAGCAGGCTATATTTACTTGATTAGAATATATATTTGTGTGTGCGTTTTTATATATGTATTGTAACAATGACTAATGAAGAAAAAGGCCATGATTTTGAAAGAGAACAGCAAGGAGTATATGAAGGGTTTCGAGGGAGGAAAGGGAAGGAGAAAATTATGTAAGTGTGTTATAGTCTCAAAAAATGTTAAATGCAAAAATGTCAAAAAATAAAAACATTCTTAAAAATTTTAAGAGCAATAGCTCCCACATGCACAAATGACATATGTATGTGTGTGTATGTATGTATGAATGAATGAATGTATGTGTACACACACACACACACACACACACTTTTTACTAATGTAATAAGAGGCCATGATTTTCAAAGAGTGCAAGCATTCGAGCTTCTCAATACTTCAAGGGAAGAGTTAAAGGGAAAATAAATCCCAGAGTATGTTTACATTCATCAAAAATCTTTCTTTTATCCTCACACGTGCTTTATGAAGCATAAAAGGCAAATATTCCTGTTTGATAACGTAACAAGAAAAATAATAACATATAGAGACAATGTAATGCAATAAATAAGAGACTGCCATTGATCATGATGACTCATACCTATAATCGCAGCACTGGGCAGCTGAGGCAGGAGAATTGCTATGAGTTTGATGAGAGAAAAAGAGACAAAAAATACATAGCTATATTTGAATCATAGCCTGGCAACTTCCTGGACATATTATTTGGGAAACCTGCCTGATCTCCCCATGCTTCCATTTACTGAATCATAAATTGTGATCATTTCAAAAGTTTATTGTGAGTGCTACATCATGGATGCAAAAAGCAGTACCTAGAGTACAGGATGTTCTGATGGTGGTGAAGCTGCTACTGCTCCTGTGGTTGATGATGATGATGATGTTGTTGATGACAATGATGCTGTTGATGATAACAATGGTAAGAGTGATACTGCTGTTGACGCTGACGATGATGATGACAATGATACTGTTGATAACAACGGTAAGAGTGGTGCTGCTGTTGATGATGCTGACAGTGATGAGAGTGCTGCTGCTTTTGATGCTGATGACGATGATGATGATTGCGCTTATTGATATACCTGATTTTTTTTTCAGCAAACTACTTCTTCATAAACTTTCAGCAAGTGTGTAACTAAGCTTAGGACTTCCTGCTTTTTTGAACCAAGACAGAGAATTAAGAATAAAGAAACCTGCTTCTTTGAAATCCTACCAAGAGCTGTGGTCTCCTAAACCACACCAACAATTAAGGTGCACTGTAGAGGTAGTCAGTTGCAGGTTTAGTTGCAGATCGTTGCTTCTTGATATGGCTCCAGGGTGGTTGGATTTCCAGAGCAGTTACAATGGTTAAAAGTCACACTGTGATGTTTCTAGTGAAGAACTCTCAAGTCTGTCCTTATCTGCTACCCTGGCTTCTCACAGGAGACTGAGGAACAAAACACAGGGGACATAGAAGGGAAATGACTCTCAGCAGGGCATTGGTGGCACACACCTTTAATCCCAGCACTGGGGAGGCAGAGGCAGGTGGATCTTTGTGAGTTCAAGGTTAGCCTGGTCTACAGAGTGAGTTCCAGGACAGCCAGGACTACACATGGAGAAACCCTGTCTTGAAAAACCAAAGCCAAAGAAAAAAGAAAGAAAAACCAAACCAACCAAACAAAATAAAAATTATATATGTCCACACAGTAGCAGGGTTTGGTTCCACAGAGAAATGACTCTGACTTCATCAGGACATGTGTCAATGCTCAGAAAAAGATTTGGTTGAATGTGTGATTGAACTTGGGATTTGTGGAACATTTCTTTTTAAGTGTATTTTAATAAATATTTGCATGTCAATATAACATGATTTGATCAAAACTATTCCCATTTCTTTTCCTCCAATTCTTCTCCTACCCCCACCATTTTCTTTCCAATGATGGCCAGTGGTGCTCTCTCTCACACTCTTTCTCTCTCTTTCTCTCTGTCTCTCTCTCTTTCTCTCTCTCTCAATATCTCTGTCGCTCTCAATCTCGCTCTCTCTCCTCTTTCTCCTCATGCTCCTGTTCCTCCTCTTCTCCCTGCTTTTCCTCCTTGAATCCATTCAATGACTAAATATTCTTACAACATCATCTACCAGCTCGCATCTAGGCTAATAAAGAAGGGTGTAGAGATGGATGATAAGCCTTGTGTGTCTATGAAAGAGTTCAGTTATTATTATCTGACAGGCTAAATAATGGTCTCTCAAAGATGTTCCTGGCCAAACTCTCAGAACCTGCAAAGATGTGACTAAGTAGTATGAAGTGGAGAGGTTATATTAGTATAGTCACATGAACTCAGTATAGTCCCGAGGTTCTAGGTGACAATGGAGCAAGAAGAAGTCAGATTGTGGTAATGCAATGACTTTCTGGAAGGGAAATAAGACACTGAAGAAAAGAGGAAAAGAGTCAGATGCCAGGGAATACTGCAAAGGGAAGGGAACAGAGTCTTCTTTATACAGCTGCTTGTACTGTGGATGCTTCCCGGAACACAGCTCAACACTGTGAAACACATTAAGACTGCTGGTCATGGTTAATAAAGGCCTGAGGTGTTCTCTTAAACCATTAAGTTTCTGGCATTTTGTTATAGCTACATCAAAAGATTAACCCATGTGTCTACCCAAACTTACACAAAATGGAGGCAAAGAAGGGATAGAAATGAATGGCCTGGCCTTCCTCACTATAGGAAGGCACCTTCTAGCTCCATGTATGTGTTTGGCAGATGCTCTTGTCTCGCAAAACATTGTGATTCTGCTCACCAGCAACAGGGAGTCAACTGACGACTGATGTTTTCGGGGTTTTGTTAAAAGGAGATAAAGTTTGCTTTAATATGGCCTGAAAGTCCAGAACTTTCTGCTTTTTCCTAAAGGCTTCACCAATATGACTATGGCTTGTGTCAGTTCAGAGTCTAAGGAATAATAATAGTGTACTGTTTGCAAAGGCTCACAGACAAGGAGTGTTCATTGCGGCCTCTCTTCTCTTCTCTCTTCTCTCTTCTCTCTTCTCTCTCTCTCTCTCTCTCTCTCTCTCTCTCTCTCTCTCTCTCTCTCTCTCTGTGTGTGTGTGTGTGAAGTACAGACACGTGTTGTCACAGCACATGAGTAAAGGTCAGAAGACAACCATGTGTGTCAGCCCTTGCCTTTCACACTTTGTGAAACATAATCTCTTTGCTTTTTACTGCTGTGTATGTTAGTCAGGATGTCTGGAAAGCCCCTGGTTCCACTTTCCATCTTGCCAAAAGAGCAGTGGGGTCACAGATGTGCAGTAGCTCTGGGAATGTGAACTCACGTCCTCATGATTGCCTCTCAAGGGCTTTACCCACAGAGCATCTCCACAGCTTCACATGAAGTGAATTCCTTTTGTTCTAGTTTAAACTGAACATATCAAGACTGGATTACACAACTTTGGGGGTCTTTTATTATTTCAAAAGCAATGCATGTACACAGCCCCCTATGTAGGTCCACTCTACTAGTGGTACCCCAGTTTATCATCAAGGGGATGAGAGAACAGACAAATACACATATAGGTGGAAAAGTTGGGGTCAGGTAGTATGTATTCACTCTGAAGAAGCAGAGTACCACAAGGAACAACCAAGGAATCTCAGCTTGTTTATTACATGCACACAGGGGGAAGAGTTAGCTCATCCTGGTAGAAGGTCTCTATGTGCAAGCAGTCTCAGGCTATAGATATCCCAGAGGAGAAAGGTATGGTTGCTAGATCTTGCACAAGTCATTGTTTGTAAAAACTCATCTTTACACACATTGTCAACTTTTGCACCCAGACTAGTAAAGTTTTGCCACCCCTCTGAACCTCACATCAGGGTATTTCTATGCATTTTGCTTTTCTCTGGTAAAGAATGTCCTACCTCATATCATTACAAACTGAGATAGGCATCAAAGAAAGGGATAAAGGAATGCTGGGTTTCTCCCCACACACACAAAAAATTTAGACTATATGGTTTCTGAGACTTTGTCATTATGAGTTGGCAGAATTTCTATATAAGAAAGGTGAGATTTTCCTGGGTATTTGAGATCTATTGTGTTTTCAGGACTGTTGTTAAGTGGCTGAATCTGCACAATGCCAATCAATACCTCCACCTCTGCGTTTCCACAGCTCTCCTTGTATATCCCTGTGTTCTCACCAGGAACGACTTAGAAATGAACTGTCAGTGCCATCTTCTCGGTCAGGGGTGGTTATGAGCTGGATGTTCTTAACAGTATTGTCGCACCAAGCATTCGGGTGGCTGTACAAGGTATATACAACCCTCTGGTTTTGTGGGTTTGGATTTTGTTTCTGTGTTGTTTTGTATCAAAGGCCCCGATTAGAAGTTAGGCAGAAGCTGGATTGATACAATCAAGACTAAAAATCGCATTTGTTGCCATGAACAGGTTTTTAAAATTATCATATTATTTTATGTATATTGCTGTCTTGACAGTATGTATGTATGTGTGCGTGTGTTTCCCTGGTACCTGCTGAAGTCAGGAAAGGGGCCATTAAATTCCTTGGGACTGTAGCTACAGAAAGTTGTGAGCTGCCATGCCGGTGTTAGGAATAGACTACTTGTTCTCTCTGCAAGAGTAGGAAGAGCTCTTAAATGCTGAGTCAGCTCTCCAGCCCCCGAGAAACACAAATTTTGGGTTGTTTGTATTAAGTAGAATCATAGCCTGATTCATTTGTAGAACACTCTGTTCCAATCACAAGGGATTGCATTGAATCACTTGCTCCTGAGAACTGTGGGTTAATGAGAGCAAGCCTGCTCTGACACTCATATACAGGAAGGCTAACGTGCTGGTGCTATACAAAGGGTTAGATGTCATCACACATCGGGTTTCACGCATAAGGAAAACCTTCAAGTCAGGAGAGACGACCCAGATGCTAAATGGTAGGCTCACAACAACAAAAAATAAGAAATGCTTTAATGTCCCTAAAGGGAAATGATAAATTCATACCTGTCTTCACCTGGTGCCAGGTATAGAGCACCATCTAGTGTTCTATAAAACATGGCTGTAAACACAAGCATCCTGACTCCAACCTCGCAAGGCAGCAAAGCATGCCCAGCTGATGTTTGGTTTCTTGTCTTTGGACTGTGAAGAGTGCATCAAAGGGGAAACGCCCCCCCCACTTTATACTTAGAAGATGCAGAGACCTCTGTTACTCTACCAGTGTATTGACATAGCAGCTAGAAAGCATGAAATAGGATATTTCCACTGTCTGTCCATGGGGCTTGGGAGAGAAATAAGAAGACTCTTGCGAACTTTTAAAATGTGCACTGGTAACTCTTCAGTGATGGTATTTGTCTACAGCTTTGGTTCTGCAGCCACATTTTGGCTGGACTATGCCATTCGTTTCCCATATTCGTTTCTCCCAACTAAGACAATATCCTTGCAGATATTTCTGAGAGTTAAAATGTCAACTATAAAATGAAAATCTACCAAAAATGCAGACAAGTGTATGAATTGATAAACAGAGATCAAGCTGTGTTATGAATATCCCTTTTTGCTTTTCCATATACTGAAAACACCTTCCCATGTCATTAATATTTTCTTTGATTGGCTTATTTCATGATTAGTTTACCTCACTCCTGTTGTTTAAACTCATTTTCCATTAAAATAATAATAGATAACTGCAATTCATGGGATTTTTAAAAAATCAGTCTTCCTTCACATTTGTGTTGCAGTAGAATACTTTATATTCCTGACGCTCTGGGATAATCCCTGCTCCAGTTCTATGACATACTTATGATTTTTCCCCTCTTTTCCTGTTATTCCTCCACTGTTTATTGACTATGCTTCTGTCTTTGATCCTTCATAATAACAAGCACTGCCACGCTGTAATTAATCAAAATGATATGCATTTTGGCACAGATTGTTCAAGCACACAAACCACTTCTCAAGCAACCAGAGGGCACAGAGGGGCGGTGGCCGCCGTATTGGACAGCTGACAAAGAATAACCCTGTTTTCAGAGCGTGTTCTTCTGAGCAGTGCTGCCAAGAGCAAGGGACAAAAGCACAGAGGTGTGGCCAGGCTGCCACAATAGAGTACTGTGGAGTGCAAACTCCTTTGGCCTGCTCTGGAGCCCCTGCTCCTTGGCTTTCTCTCCCATCCGCTCCACCTCCTCTCTGGATACCAGCTTTGTCCTCTACTTGCTGTAAGATGGACACGATGGTGGCTCTCAACACATGAAAATCTGGAGTCTGTGCCACCTGACAGCTCTAGCAAATCACCTAACTACATTTCTTGCATCTCTCAGTCCAAGTTCTCCAGCCCCTCCTGGCGTCTCACTCCACACACAGTGGTACTCTCCATCCCAAGTTACGGTGCAGCTCCGCTTCCTAGTCCACTCAGCAGTGGCCATATTCATAAATGAGAAGCTCACTATAAGCCTTCCAAGCCAGCAGTGAAGCAGCGCTCCCTGCAGTCTGAGAAGTCACATGCTAGCTGGGGAGACGGGAAATAAATCACACAACCAGATAATTACAGGATGTGTGACTGGAGTAAAGACAAATACACTGAAGAAAAGCAGAGCAGTGTAAAGGAATTAGGGTTGCTACAGTTGATCAAGTGAGGCCTGTCTGCAGAGTGATGCCGGAAGAGAGATTGAAGTAGGGAGTAAACCACACAATGTCTGATGGAAATGCACGACAATTCGACTCAGCTAAAGGCACAGAGACCCCGAAGCAGGCGTGGGCACAGCAGTTTGAAGGGAAGAATAGCTGGACTCCCTCTTGAACCACCCACAGCACTATCTACACATGGATACAATCCAAACAAGGAGCTGTAGACACTGAAGCATGGGCCACATCTGATGCACCATACACTGCGGCCACAGGAGCCTCTGACTAGAATCTCAAATGTAGTTCCGTTTCTCCCCTTATGCTCAAAAGACTTACCAGTTCCCTAAGCCGTTCACCCTCATCTATATGGATATTCATATCTTCACACCGAATTCCGTTACCTTCGTCGCTATGTATTTTCTATATCCCCTTCCTTCCTTATTTTCAGCTCTTACTGACATTCTTAAACAGTCCTTAAACCCCCAGGTTCCTTCCAGCAGCCCATGCTGCACCTGCTAGATAAACCTTCCTAAAGCAACGTTCATTCATCCATCCACCCATTCACTCAGCACTTATGTAGCTCAGTGAGCTGAGCTTCATGCAATGTCTCTGCTTAAAAGAAACATCTTGTGATGCAATAGTCCTTCTTTCTTCATGTTCCAACACTCCAGTGGGATGAAACACATACATTTAAAACAATTAGCCCATACTTGAGTATTTCACGCAATCAGGGTAGGGCACAAAGCCCATAAGAGAATGTATTCAAGTATACCTGTTTCAAGAGTACTCACAGTTACAAGGGAATTCCTTCCCTGCTGACATGCAAAGATTCTGACACATCTGTCCTACATCTGAAGGAAAGCAAGTCTGTAGTTATCCACAAATTTACAGAGCTGGTCCCCAGGGCCTTCCAACAACTTGCATGAAAAACTCTGTCATTCTGTTGAGAAATAGGTACTCGGAAACCACACAATCTCTAGGAATTACAGTGTGTATATAATTTTTAATCAATCCATGTAAAAAAACTCATCTGTATTATATATCTATATGGAAAGACAGCAATACACCCAAGCTATCATAACCTGTCAATGAATTATGCTCAATTCAAGATTGATTTTGCCGTTGAAGCAACATCATCCATGGCTTTTAAGACCTCAGGCAAGGCTGCCAAAGCCTACTTGACCCATCAAACAGTGGAACGGTGCTGTTCCCATAGTTGTTTAGCATCATCTGTAACACAGGCTTTCTATTCGAGACTCAGAAGAATCAGATACGTGGCTTAACACTCTAGACCCAGAATCATACCAATCAACAACCAGCATTCATTTGGCACTAAGAGCATCCCAATCTTGTTTCACCCTCATGTGATGGACCTGAGTGGCTCTCTGTCTCTGTTCCTCTTTCTGTATCCGTGTGTGTGTGTGTGTGTGTGTGTTTATACTCAGACCCACATTTGTACACCTACATATGGATGTTTTTGGTGTCTTCCTCAGTCATTCCCCACCTTATTATTTGAGACAAATTCACTGAGCTCACCAGTTTGACTGGCTGGCAGCAAGACATAGAGATTCTTCTGTCCTTCTACGCTCTACACCCCACCCCCAGCAATGGGGTTGTAGATGTATGCTGCCACATCTGGCTTTGTTACATGAATGCTGGTGATCGAACTCAGGTCCTCATGATCACACAGCAAGCACTCCACTGACTGAGTCATCTCCCCAGCCCTCAGAGTGTTTTCTCTGTGTTGTCAACATTAGTCAAAAAGGGGTAGGGGGTCCTGGAAGAAGGAGAATGCAGGTTTCGTCTTCCCTGACAGGACCTTGAAAATGTAGCAAGAGTCTCCTGCAATCTCAAAGGGAAATAAGAACACTCTTCCACCCACGTTAGACCTGGGGGCGGGGCTGTTGGAGTTTAGGGAGCAGACATGATAGGCAGATGACAGCCAAGACATAGATTGGGAGGGCGGACATTCGGAAAATCAAATCATCAAGTTAAGCTATCTAGGGAGCTGGAGAGAAGGCCAAGTGGTTAAGTTGGTTAGTTAGTTTATTGTCACAAAAAGTCATTAGTTCCAATCAAAACTTCATTAGTTTTCCACAGTATTCCATAGTGGGAAGTGACCAGACCCCATACCTTCAAACAAGGCCACCATTAACTGTCACGGGGCAAGAGGTATGTAAATACCTTTGCATTTCAAAGTTTCAAAATTGCCTGATGATTTACCTCTGAACCCATCTGAGTCCAGCTCAGGGAATCATTCAGATGTCCTTTGATGAAGTAGTAAAAGCAGCAATACCACAAAAGACCATGAGCCAGTCCCCATCTCTGCCCACAGAATTCTAGTGACCTCATAGCCAACTTCTCTGCCTTCTCTCTTGTCCCCCTACTACCTGCCATCCAAGCAGCTGGCAGAAAGAAGTCCCGGTTACTAGCCTCCTTACAATCCTTTCCCAGCTCCCTCTAAATTGTCAGCAGTGTGTGCCCAGCCTTTGACTTTTGTGGACTGTTAAGAGAAGCTTTTTCTTTGCTAGCAGCTTTGGTTTATCCCCACCAGTTGCCGGGGCTCTGCCAATTTGTAGTCCCCAAATAAACACACAAGACGCTGTATTAATTATGAAGCTGTTGGCCTTGCTTGTCTCTTACTGGCTAGCTCTGCTTTAAGTAATTTCCCCATAATTGTTAATCTAAGTATGTTTCTTACCGGAGAATAGTTCCGGGCTTCCTACCCCCATGGCGTTACATGTTGACTCTCTCCTGTGTTTCTCCTTCCCAGAATCCTCCTGGACTCCTAGTCCCTCCTATCTAGATTCCCTATTGGCCAGACAGTACTTTATTGACAAATGCACACGACTTCCCCAACAGTGGACTGCCTTCATGGTTTTGGTTTCTCTCTGCAGCATCTAGTAATAACATATATTTAGTTAACTTAGTGTTTTCAACACATTTACTTTTAAGAAGTGTTTTATAGCATTAATGAAAGAGATTAACCGCCTGTCATAATGAACACTAACTACAAACAGGTACACAATGAAAAGAAACTCATTCTAGCCATGTATCCTTGCCTACTCTGAACTTGAGCTACCTTTTAAAAGGACATTTCCAGGTGCTGGAGAAGTGTGAGACGTACTGACACCAAATGGAGGCTTTCTCCTTGGCTAAACAGCTGGGTTAAATGCTAATTGAAAAGGGATTAAGTTTCTCACTCCGTGATAAAGTGTTATTTAGTGTCAAGTCCCTGAACAACCTGAAACCATCCCATGAGCCACCTACATTCCATCAAATGCTAACGTATAGGATGGATTCTAAGCAGCCCAGGGTCGAACTGGAGACCCTTTGGCACCACCTCCTTGCCCAACTCTCTGCTCTTTTCTTCTTGCTATCAACTCTTACTTTGTTCTCCCGCAACTCCTCCCGGTGCTGCATGACCCAGTACTCTCTTGATGTTGGCATGCCACTCCCCATGCATCTACTGAAACTCTTGTGCAGTTTTTCAACTGCTTTTCACATCTCTCCTCCTGTGTGCAGGGGACCCGACCCACCGTCTCCTTATCACAATGCGTCACTTTCACTCCTGTGTGACATATGAATTCATTTTCCTTATGCAGAATACTAATGCAGCAATTCATGAGTTTTGTGTCTCTCTCCAACACTGTACTGAACCCTCATAAAGTTTGTGGCTCATGCTCCATGACTATTAATTAACTAAGTCAGCGCCCACCCCCCTTCTAGTGCAAAAACCTCATGCAGTAGCCATGGAAACTATCATCTCCCAAACTGGACCTATGAATATGTACTGTATTACAAAAGATGCTCCTTGCTCACTGTGGTAGACAGAGTTCAAGACCATTGGAAATGGATAGTGAACCATAAGAACAAAAGTGGAATATGGTCTTGGAAAAACTGATGTCAGAGGGAATAGAGAACCTTTTGGTATTGCCACATGCACTTTTTATGCTGTCTTCACTTTCCCCAAGTCATTTCTTAAATTTCCCATAGGCCATAAGTAATAGGAAAATGGTAGTTTCTCATGTCTTTTAGCCAGTGCTCTCCTGAATCCTCATTCCCTCTGTCAAGACAAATTCAACACCTTATGCAACCAGTTCCTGACCTCCAAATGAGAGAAAGTCAAATGGAAAAGAAAGAAAAATTACTAGAAATAACCATCACTAGCACTCTATTTTGACCTGCATCTGCTTTCAAAGAAATCAGACAAGAGTTCAAATCTGGCCTATAATAGCCAGCGCTACTCCTAGCTTCCCATCCTGCTTGCCGCTTCTCTGTCACTACATGTGGCACTTCCATGAGAGCTAACAATCTGTATTAACAAAGTCCAGATAACTTCAAATCCTAACTCCAATACTCAACACACCATACGCCTGAGGTTGATGCCTCAAAATCTATATATAAAACAAACAGCTTCACAAGAGGTTGTGCACACAAGTGATTCCGCCTATCACCCTTTGGGCCCACATTATTCTAAGAGTCTCATCTAAAGTGATTTACCGTATGTGTCTGGAAATCAGCTGAAATGAAACCACATGTGGTTATTTTTAACACATAGATTTTCTGTCTCAATGAGTTCTATTAAATGCTATGCAATGACCTCACACCTGCGTTTCTAAAATAAAATTCCCCCAGGTGATTCGTATATGCACAATAAAGTTGGAGAACTAATGGCCCAGGGCAGAGATCTCACATTCAGATGCCTTTTAGGGGCCAAGAAGATAATGAAAATGTGAAAAATAGTCCCAAATCATACAGAAGGGAGGACTGAAATTTTAAGTAGCAGGAGAAAGCCTGACCTTTGTACGGCAGGCATGAACACCCAGCTGGCAACCAGCTGTTATTCATAAGGATGACTGCCAGACTCTCTGATGTTGTGAAGGAAGACAGGCTGAATTTTTCTGCCTTTTATTGAAAATAAATTGATAATATGTCCTAATTATAGTTTCTCCACCCTCTACTTCTCCAAGCTCCTCCCCACCTCCCCTCCCACCTGGATACACTCCCTTTCTGTCTCTCATTATAAAACAAATAGGCTTCTAAAGGATAATAATAAAATACAATGATAAAGAAAGACACATTGGAATTGGACAAAACGAAGAAACAGGAAAGAAAGAGTCCAAGAGAAGGTACAAGACACAGAGACCCACTTGCTTGCACACAGACATCACACAAAAACACTAAAGCAGAAGCCATAACGTATAAGCAGAGAGCGTGGTACAGACCTATGCAGGCCCTGAGCATGCTGCTTTAGTCCCATGTGCATTGATCAAACTGATTTGTAGAGCCTTGCTTGCTTGGTGTCCTCCATCCTCTCTGGCACTTACAGTCTTTCTGCCTCCTCTTCCACAGGGTTTCCCCGGAACCTAAGGGGAGGAAGTTGATGGAGACATCCCTTCAAGGGCTGAGTGCTCCAAGGTCTCTCACTCTGCATTAAGTGTGGCTGCAGGTCTCTGTGTTTGTTCTCATTTGCTGTGGGAGGAAGCTTCTCTGATTACGGGAAAGCAGGGACTGGTCTATGAGTATAGAAGAATTTCATTAGGTATCATTTTATTGCTACCTTTTTTTTTAGAGCAGTAGTGTTCGATTTAACCCTAGATCCCTGAGCTATCTAGTCTAAAGTTCTTGGTTATCCAAGCAATGTCATGTATGGGTTCTATCTTGTGCTGTGGGCCTTAAGTTAAATTAATTCATTGTTGGTGACTCCCACAAGCTTTGTGACACCATTACACTGCATGTCTTGCAGGTGGGACACCATTATCAATCCAAGGACTTGTGGCAGGATTGTTTATGTTTCTTTTTTGGTAGCATGTAGTGTATCTTCATGTGTCAAAGATGCTAGAATGTAGGGGTGAAGGCTCTATGCCGGCACCAACTCTACTTCTCCATCTTCAATGAGTTGTGTAGGTGTTGTCTTCAGCAATGGGGCCTTGCTGTCATTTTGTGGAAAGCAGCCTGTAGCCTTAGAAACAGCCTGAGTTGTTTGGGAATACCCTTGAGTCACCTTTGGCCTTCTTGAGCCTGGAAGCTTCATTTGATGAGAAGATACGGCCAACTGGAGCTCTGTCTCTCCCATTATTTGATTTCAATGAGATCGCCTTCATATATGTGTATATTTTAAGAAGCTTCTACTGTATTTACTTTCTACACTACCTCTCAAATGACCCTAAAGTTTAGTTGTTTCTCCCCTTGTTTCCCTCTCCCCTTGCCCTTGATCCTCCTGTTCCATGCCCCATGCATTTAATAGTTTCTATTTATTCTATTTCCCTGTCTAAGGGAGAAGATATATCTCTACCCCCCCACTTCCTTACTCTACACCTAACTTCTGTGGTTCTATGGATTGTTGTTTGGTTATCATTGACCTAACAGATAACATCTACACAGAAGCAAATACTTGTCATATTTCACTTTCTGGCACTCTCATCCACATACCTGCAAATTACATGATTTCATTATTTTTATCGGCCTTGTAACACCCTATTGTGTAGATATATCATATTTTCTTTATCCATTTTTCTGTTAAGGATAATCTAGGTTGTTTCCAATTTTTGGATATTATGGATAGAAGAGCAATCAACATGGCTATCTTTGTGGTAGGATGAAACATTCTTTGGGTATATCAGGCTGGAGTTTTCGAATAAAACATCTCCTTTATATGCTTACAGAGCTCTCAACTTTTTAAAATTTACTTTTATGTTTCATGTTTTATTAGCTTATGCTAATTATGTGTAATAATGTGTTACTTATGACATTATCACAAACAAGTACACATATTTTCAAGGTAGAGAACAGGATAAAATATTGACTTTCAGGCATGGCATGGTCTTAGCACTATTGAATTCACAGCAGTTACAATGGAGGAAAGAGATTTTTTTCAAAAGTATAGCAGCTGGTAAGATGTATAAGCTTCTTAAAACAACCCTAATAATATCATCTCTCTGTGTGTCTCTGTCTCTGTCTCTCTCTGTCTCTCTCTATCTCTCTCTGTCTATCTCTCTCTCTTCCCCCCTCTCTCTCTCACACACACACTACATGAAGTAGAATAGAAGAGGACTACTTGGGAAGTAGAATAGAAAGGGATTAATGGGATTTGAAGTAAGTCATCCTTTTTTTAAACAAACTTAGGTCTGCTGAACACTGAAGGTCACTAGTAATGCATGTCTGGTCTAAGAATATTAAGGCATGTGTAGCAGACAAGTATAATACCTCAATGCCTACTTATGTAATAGGAGATAATATGGGCATGTAATCATTATAAGTACTATACCTTGTGAAACAACTAGAATAAGCTAGAACTAAATATTGTGAAGAAGAAGCAGACTACTTTGGAAGGGTATTAAAGGATACTGAATGAAGGTACTCTACACCAGCTATGCCCATAAATAAATCTTAGAAACCTTACTACTGATATTGATGAGTTGGCTTCTCATAGTGTTTGAAGTATGATTAAGTAGTTTATATCAAGTAGATTAATGACAGGATCAGACTTATAGCATGGATTCAACATTTTTAATTTCGTGTACAGGTGTAGTGGTGTAACTCAGGGGTGGATTGTTTGCCTAACATGCATGGCCCTTTTCTCAATCCAGAACCACAAAATATGAGTAAGTGCATAAGTACATACATAAATAAATAAATTGAATATTTTATTTGCCCTTTTGTGAAGCCTTGCACTAAAACTCAGAAGGCTACACAGAAAATCAAGTTCATGACAAAAATCTGACAAACATCCTTGAT